TTCTTAAAAATATTTTGAATATTCCACCATATCTTAATCCAAAATGCTTTAACTTCCCTACATGTCCACCAAATATGAAAATAAGTTGCATCTAAATTTCCACATCTCCAACACTTAGGTTGTAGATTAGGATACATACAAGACAATTTTTGAGGATCCAGATGCCACCTATAAAACATTTTATAAAAATTTTCCCTTAGGTTTTGAGCTTGAGTAAATTTTACATTTCTAACCCAAATTATCTCCCATGTGTCCAATAAAATTGGTTCTTGTATATTTTGCGCCCATTTTATCATACAATCCTTAACCAATTCTGTTTCTGAATCCAATCCAATCAATACATTGTAAATTCTTTTAATATGAGCTTGAGATTGATCTTTAATCTGTTTCATCAAATTTGCATCCTGTAAAGTAATACCGACTTTATGATCCATATGCCACCTCATTAACAATTGATTATAATAAAACCAAGAATATTCAATATTTTCTTGTTTCAAATCTACTAAAGATTTAAACTGCCAGTCTTGTCCTACCGGATGAAGTAATTCCTTATAAGAAACTTTATCCAAGTTAACCCCCCTAGATATCCCCTCTAATACCTGTCCTGGAGGTGCCAAGATAGGAATTTTGTAATTTAATTTATAGTAATATTTCTTCCAAACTCTCAATAAAGCACTCCTTAAGATATGGATCTTAAAATTTGTATCTACCTTTTTATCATAGATTAAATATGCCTGCCACCCAAATAATAGATCCCATCCTTCAAGAGAAAGTATATTCTTATTTGTTAAATTTAACCAATCACTAATCCATGTCAAAACCACCGCATCATAATACAATTTTAAATTAGGGGCTTTAAGTCCTCCTCGTTCCCTCATATCTTGCATAATCTTAAACTTGACTCTTGGCTTCCATTATCCATTTTTTAAAGTCCCTATTCTAGCTAAGAAAATAACTGAAAACATTTCTCTCTGTTTTGCTTTACCCTCCTTTTTTTTTTTACACTAATTGACTCTGAGCTAATAATTCTGTTCCTGAGTGTTCGGGCTGGACTGAAAATAGGATTATTTTTTATTAGATCAATTCATCACAATCTACATTGTGGAATTGGGTATGTCTAGTTTAATGAAGAGAAGGACGAGGGGGGACATGATAGCAGTGTTCCAATATCTCAGGGGCTGCCAGAAAGAAGAGGGAGTCAAGCTATTTTCCAAACCGCCAGAAGGCAGGACAAGAAGCAACGGATGGAAACTAATCAAGGAGAGAAGCAACCTAGAACTAAGGAGAAACTTCCTGACAGAACAATTAACCAGTGGAACAACCTGCCTCCAGAAGCGGTGAATGCTCCAACACTGGAAGTTTTTAAGAAGAGACTGGACAGCCATTTGTCCGAAATAGTATAGGGTTACCTGCCTGAGCAGGGGGTTGCACTTGATGACCTCCAAGGTCCCTTCCAACTTTATTATTATTATTGTTATTGTTATTGTTATTATTACATAAAAGGAATTAATTTCTGTTCAATTGTAATCAACATTCAAAAGCACTATGTTTCAATTTAGCCTGGTGGTTTATTCTTATTTCCTCTTCTTTGTTTCCATTTATCTGATGAAAATGTTTGACTAGCTTTCTTGGACCTGTAGCTATAAATAAAAGAAGCTTTAAATCTTCCAAATAAAGACCATGGCAAACCACTATCATGGTGCCAAGAAAACTCCTTGTACATGTCCATGATATCACCAGGATTCGAACTCGATTCAATGGAGAAGTTTATTTTTTTGTATTTCTGCAACCCCATTCAGTGATTTGTAGGTGGGCCTGTGAGAGGAATTATTACTATCACCATTAGATTAGATTATTACTACTATTAAAAATCCATGCAAAAAGAGATGGATCTCAGTACAAAGAAACAAAACATGTCTAAAATGCATCTCCCCCAACCAGGGCACAGTTTAAGCACCATCAAAATTACAAATGAAAACTCCCAACAGTTAAAATTACTGTTTTGTTTTACTGTCATATAA